AAATTTTTCTATTCATTTCAAAATGTAAATACTGCATCATTGCAGAATTGAAAATCAGACAAATATGTTAATTTGGTCAAAATTCTGTATTCACAAGTATTTGGCATACTTGTGTCTCTTTGATTTCAAGACATGTATAAGTTTCTTGCTGTAATTCACAGCCAGCAAGGACTGTATTAATATAAGAATGGCTTAATTTTATAAATTGATCATTTTCACTATACATTTCAGAACCACATACATTGTAGAATTTTGATGCAAGTGCTACTCTGTGAATTATGTAATAAGTTCAAAATGTATTTCAAGTCTTGCTTCAAATAACTATTCGAGTATTGCTTTATTACAAGTATTGCTTTCAGCCCTCCATAGTCTCTACATATAGAAAGACCACCATCAGTACCATGATGTTCTTTACTTGTATATATATCATTGCATTTTATCAACTCCAAAACATTTTCATTAATAAATGTGTCAGACAAATATTGACACTTTATATCTACACTTATACAGGGTGTTTGGAAAGTTACTTTTCTCTTTTCTAATCATATATTTTAAATTTCAAATTTCACCCTATGGGCATCACTTTCACCATTGTTAATAATTTTCATTCATATTCCCCTCCTGGTACTGAAACATGTCTTTTAATAAAAATATAAGTACCTTTTGACTTTCCAAAAACCCTGTACTTTTGCAAATAGATCTTCAATAATTTTTTCAACATCCCCAAATCTTACATAATTAAGAGATTGACATTACTGTTAATGGCCTCATCAAGCTGCAACACAATTTCCTTCCCTTTCATTTCCAAATCAGTTGTTCATTCAGATAATCTGCTGGATTCCATAACAAATTGTATTATCTGATAATGGCACATGAGAAAGTAGATTCTTGCCACAGTCATTCATCTGGATATTTACCATATCTTCGGCAGCTGCTAGAATCAAATCTTTCAATATGATGTTGTCACATGTGCAGCAAAAGAAATAAGATAAAAAAAGTAAAGGGTACACAAGAATACTGACTAAGTTTTTATGGTAAACAAAGAAAAGGTTTTATTATAATTTTTGTGATTATGTTCAGTGACAAAAGAGAAAAACATAAAAGGCTTACTGGCAAGAAGTTAAAAACACTTCATTTTTATCTTCAGTTGGGAATTGCTGGGTTTTTGTGCTATAGTTTACATGTCCGGTCAGTGAATCAAGCAGATTTCTGCAGAAACTGATTTTACCAGACAACTTGCTTAATTTTGGTGCCAACCAACGAATATGAATACCTGACTGAAAGACCTCAACTTGTAAGGTCATTTGACTGCATGAAATGACCCAGAACTTGGGAGAAGTTTAATTCACAAAAATAGATTCTCTTGACAATGTGTTTATAGAAATTTATGCAATCATAAGGGAAAGAAATGGTGAAAAATTGTGGTTGTTTTTGTAGCTTTTTATGATTTTTATGGTTTAAGTAAGGTTGATGAACAGTTATTTAACAAACTACTCACTAACATGTTATACCTATTGCCGTTCCAAAATGTCCTCTCTGTTCATATCCTTACATTGTTGCTTTCTCAATTTGAAATTTATAGGTTTAGATAAGGTCCAGAGTTTTGAACACAAATTTTACTATTAGTTATTTTTTATAATTTATCAACCAGTCAAGTTTAGTTTTACAAAATTTAAATTTAATTTTTAACATTATCTGATTTCAATTTCTTGAATGATTTTGTCAAAAAGGAAGTGGTGAATATAAACAGTTTGGGGGCAAATATTTGTCCTCTGCTTGCCTCTAATTTACTGGTTATCCATTTTTATCAGAATTTACAATTAAGACAGATTTTTAAAAAAAGGTCTTTCAATTAAAATATGTTAAATGTCCTCTTTAAAGAAAAACAAAGTCCTTTTTTAAAAAGAGGACGTTTAGAATATTTTATCTTAATTTTTCAAGCACATTTTTTTTAATATGCTGAAAAGAAGAAAAACTTTTGTAATAAATTAAAAAAAATAAATTCAAACACCATTCTTTCTTAATAAATTCTTATATTTTTACATTTTGCAATTGTCTATGTCATCACATAAGATGCTAGTAAAATCTTGTTTAGTTTTGATGCTTATAAAAACTATTTTCTTGTCAAATAGTCACAATGTTCATCTTGTTAATTGTAATGATTGATTTGTAGAAAACGGTTGTTACAAGTTGTAACAAAATTTTAAAAGTAGAAATGGTTTCTTCTTCTAAATGCCATGTCCCTTCAGGACGTGGGAAATCATGGCTCGCTATGATTTCCCTTCCTTTGTAGCTCTTAGTAAATTTAGTGTTTTTGTTATCTTTCCTAAAATCTGTTCTCCCATTTACACAAGCTCATTAGGCAAGGGTTATGTGCTGTTTTCTTCTGTCCTACTTGCCTTCAATATGTCCCATGAGTGTCAAATTTACCAACCCCTCTTTTCTCGTTATGTGCCTTAGAAATTTCAACTTCTCTTTCTGATGTTAAGTATAAGTATCCATTTTCTTTCCATTTTCTCTAAAACTTTATCATTGCTCACATGTTCTGTCCATGGTATTCTCAGCATCCTTTAGTAGAACCACATTTCTGTTGCTTCAAGTGTCTTCTTCATCTGTGAGAAAATTGTCTATCATCTATTGTCATATAGAAGGACTAATATTACGTAACAGTTCAGTACTCTTCTTCATTTCTAATGAAATTTTCCCGTTTCTTAATATATTGCTTAGTTTTGGGATAGCATCATTTGCTATTCCAAGATTTTGGTGTTGCACTTTCCATCTTCTGTTAAAATACTTTCAAGATATTTAAATTTTTGTACTTGCTTGATTTTGGTATCTCCAATTTGTAATTTTCATGTTGGACTGTTCCTTTTGCTGACAACCTTTTGCTGTCTTCTTAAAATTGATGTTTAGTCCTTTCTTCTTGCTTTCCTTCACTACCTTTTGTGGGAGTTTTTGTAGTTTCCTTTTATCCTGCTATCTACACTGTGTCATCTGCATATCTTATGTTGTTAAGATTGTGGCTGCAAATAATGAATCCTGGTAGGAATTCTAATTCCCTCAGGATCACCTCACTGTATAGGCTGTGAGAAGATACACCTCTTTCTATTTTTCTTTTTATTTACTGAATTCATTTTCAATCCATAAACAGGTGGTTTGCTGCCAGTATAGATTCTGGATTCTTCTATTAGAATTCCCAAATATATCAAGCTTACCTAGCATTTCCAACATACATTGTGACATACTTTATCAAACACTTTTGCATAATCTATAAAGCATAAATATACATCCTTTTGCATTTTTTTGTATTTCCCTTTCTAATATTGTTCTGAGCATATATATCACATTCCTTGTTCCAGTGTCTTTAATGAAACTGCACTGTTCTTGTCCTATTTCTGGTTTAATTCTGCTGCATGCTCTATTCATCAGAATTAAGCAGAGAATTAAAGTTGGGTCAATACTTTTACAATTTTTTTCAAATGTTGCGACATCTGCAATTTAAGTGAAATTTCATTCAGTCCTTTACTACAAAAAGTATCCACCATATTTTATTACCATTCTTTTTATTTAATGATTACAATGTAAAATTAATTTGATACATAGGCATATATATGCAATATGATGTTAGTCTGTTTGTAAATTAATGTATTACCATTAAACTTTTTAAAAAATTCTGCAGCACTCATTGTTTTTATTTACTCATTTTAGTACCAGTTGATATTTGTGTACTAAACCTGTAGAAGGTAAACTAAAACATACTTTAATTTAATACTGAAGTTGTATTTCTTTAAAATCTTCAAGGTTTTGTGTTTTACTTTTTCTTTAAGCATAAAATTTTTGTTGTTTGCTAAAAACAGACATATATTTTATTATCATTGAACACCTAACAATCTCTTTAATATTTTGATATGTCCCGGAAAGGGATATATTTGTTCGAAGTATGAAAGTGGTTTAGGACAATTTAGCATGTAGCCATAATGGACTGGTCCTCGTCGTAGCAGTAGGCAATAGGCATAACCAATAGGCATCGACCTGTACCTCCACATCAGTCTGTATTTATGGCTGACACCAGCCAATCATATTACTGTGAGGGGGAACCCAGGCGTATGCATATTCATTACATCTCCCCTTGAGCTAAATTTTCCCGTGAAATTTAGCTTCAATATTTTCTTTTTTTAGGGTCTGGACTTAATGGATTGATTTTTTTTCCCCAAGTCTTTTTCACCTCAATTCTCCTTGCAGTGGTGGCTTTTGACACGCTGGTACCTCTGGCCTTGAGGTCAGGGATACCTCCATTGGCGAATGTTGACTTACTGGAACAGGAATTTCAGATGCGTCATACAGGACTTCCATTGGAATCTCTTTGGTATTTCCCATGACCTCTGTAGTGTGTCTGGGTCTCAATTGATTCCAATGATTTTTGCACCAAAATTTTTCCCCTTTCATGTCATATATGACCTGTCCAATTCTTTTGGTTATCATTCCTTCTTCCCAATACATTTTTCTAGCCTTAAAGTTCTTGAAAAAAACTTTGTCACCTGGCTTATATGCTTTAGTCATCTGGTTTTCTTTTTTAGCAGTTTTCTTCACTGGACTGTCAAACACAGAGCGTATTTTTCTCGCAAACATTAACTCTGCTGGCGATAACCCTGACATCGTATTTGGGTTTGGCGTGATTCTATATACTGCCAAAAATTTCTGAATACTTCTTTCATTCTACTGTAACTGGGTAGGACAATCTAGCATGGAGCCATAATGGACTGGTCCTCATCATAGTGGTAGCCAATAGGCATAGACCTGTACTTCCACATCAGTCTGTATTTATGGCTGACACCAGCCAATCATATTACTATGAGGGGGAACCCAGGTGTATGCATATTCATTACATCATATTTGAATATTGATTATCTCATCATATAATAATAATAATAATGTCACCCTTTTCTTTTTAATTTCAAAATTTATTTATTTTTCATCTGCTCTATCATATTTCCATGCAGAGAAAGTGTAAAAACCATCTTGTACAAGAACATCCAAACTGGAAGCAGTACATGGCCGTCCTCCAATCTCAACTGAAAGAGGCTTTGCAGAAAGTGAATGGGATTTCAGAAAGTAATCCAGAAAAAATCTTACAATCTGAAAATAATACTCAACCAAATGTCATCAAACCATCAACAATGGAACAGTTTGCATCATCAACTTCTAATGAACACCATCCAACAAACAAACTCCAATTTTCACAAGGATCATACATAATTCCTCCTGAAAAACCTCAGAGATCTCTTCCACGGACTTATGATGAGCAATTGAAAAACATAAATGTATTTTCTCCCAGCATGCCTTGTCAAACTGGCAATCAATTTGATCATCACAATCATCAACAGATGAAAAATGGAATTCTTCAAATGAGCTATGCCACTCCTCCTCAACAAATACAGCTTGCAAGATTGCAAAATCATTTGTTGCCTGCTACGGTCATGCCTATTGGATATCTTCAACAACAACCAGTTATGGTGCAAGTTCCATTTGAACACAGACAAGAAATGCAACAAGATAGGCCAGAAGAAGAAATTTACAACATTGAGCCATCAACATTCTATCAACAGTTTCAAGTCCCACAACAGGTAATTATGCTATTTTGATATATACCTATGTGAATCATGCTTTTCAAATTATACATTCATTACCTTTTTGTAATTCTTCTTCTGTGTGGTCTCTCTACAACTTCCTATCCTTTGTAGCTCTTAGCAATGTTTGACTTTTTACAATCTCACCCACTTCCTGTTCTGCCATTCATTTATGTAAGTTATTATGTAAGTTAATCACTTTTTCAGCCCCTATTTCTTGCAATATATTTTGTCAGTGTCCAAATTGTGTTTCCTCATTATGCATCCCAGAAATTTCTATCTGTCTCTCTTTCTGATTCAACTAATATGAGTCCTTCTTATTCTACTTTTTCTTAAAACTTCCACATTTCTTACATGTTCTCTCCATGGTATTCTCAGCATCCTTTTGTAGAATCACATTTCTGTTGCCTCAAGTCTCCTCTTCATCTGGGAGGAAATTTTCCAGCATTCACTGCCATAGAGGAGGATTGGTATTACATAGCACTGTTTTATTTGTTTTTAATGAAATCATTTAATAAAACATTGATTACTTTGGAAAATTATTGATGCTGTTAAATATTTATTTTTATTTCATTAATTCTAGAATTGCATTCTTAAGAACATAGCTCCAGGTAAATAACAGGAATACTGAAAGACTAATGTAAATTCAAATTATATTTTTATGTAGGGTTTTTATTTAAAAGCTTAACTTTTAGATCTCTAATCTTCTCAGATGTTGTTAGTAGAGATATACTGGCAGACAACTGCAATAATAAAGAGAATATTCTATATTTGAACATTGATAATAAATGAAATATCCAATTACATTTATTTTTATCTTTCACTTTGCCATATAGGGTTAACCTTTGATTTCAGAAAAGCCTATTTAAAACAGAATGGGGTTGTGTCTTCTCTGCAGCATTGATAATATATGCTATATTTGAAAGATGTTTGGAAAAAAAATTTACCCAAATTGCTGATATTGTCATTCATGAAATTATTAAGGCAATTTCATTAAAAAACTGACATTAAAAAAACACCAATGAACTGTTCAAAATAAAGCAGTAAAAATGAGACCAAATTCTTTGTGTTGTCAGATAGTCATTGAAGGTGGAACAAAGATGTATGTTCCAGAATCATTTGCCAATGAAGAACTCAAAGAAGACCCAAAAGAAACTAAAACAGACCCAAAACAAGAATCTCATAATTTGCTTGGGACAAATGCAAAGAAGGCTGTTGAAGTTGTTGACTTGAATAATCCCCAGTTCCATCAAGACAAGATATCAAGTAAGTGTCTTAACACTAATCCATGAGGATTTACAAGTATGTTTCATATCCCCTTAAAATAATTACTGCCTCTTCACATCTGTCACTTTTTGTCAATCTTTTAATTCTTTTTTTAGTTATTTCCTTTTGTATCTTGGCAAGACTTTGTAAAGATATTGCAGAAACATTTAATTAAATTAAGTTTCCTGAGATGAGTAATTATCATTTATTATACACTGATTTATTTGAATTTATTGTCCTTGCCTTGGTTGTTGTAATAACAGTCCTATTTAGGTAAGTGTTGTATTCAGTAATGCTCTGGGATTCATGCCATTTATTTAATTTAAAGAAGTAGAATATGTGGAGGATTTGCAATGTGCTATGACCTTTAAATGTTCTTTAAAATCCCAAGGTACTCTTTATTTTGTATTCAGTATATTATGCCTAAGAGGAAACTAAACAGTTGAATTCTTCATATCAGTATAGATAAATGGTGACAATAAAATAAATAAATTTAAAGGAAAACTCATTGTTGGTAGTAAAATATATACAGTGAGTCTCCATATTTGCGGGGGTTAAGGACCAGAACTAGCCGCAAATAGTTAGAATCTGTGAATACGTGTAAACCCACCCCCTAAAGGTGCTTATAAGTACTTATTTTGATTGTTAAAACCCCATACACCTTAAACTTTCATCATAAACACTTTAGAAACATTTCAGACCCATTTTAAATTTTTTTGAAAAATAGTATTGGTGAATATACACTTAACGTAGATTTTCTTTCATACATACAATAACCGTTTTTAATTACGCATAGATCGATACAACCATTGAAAATACTGTATATGTGTAACAAGATATAAAATATAAAGTTTGAAATATTTTCTAAAAACAGAACTGTGATGATGCCCCCAGATTTAGCATAAGCCACTTTTAAGACCCCCAGCCGCAGCTGGGGTCTTAAAAGAACAACAAAGAACAAAGCCCAAGCACTACACATGTTTTTGTGTTTGTTGTTTTTAACAATGAAGATGTACAATTCTACCAATTTTTACCATAAAAATGGACTGTTATATGTTTTAAGTCTCTTAAATAAGTGGAAAATAATACAAGAATATTTTAAATATGTTCTATTGAAAAAATATGTGTATCAAGGGAGTTCTCAGCAAATAATTTGTACATATGTTCTTCAGAAAAACATGTAAATATTCATGTTCTTCAGAAAAATCCACAAATGTGTGAATCCATGAATATGCGGGGCTGGGGGCTCACTGTGTGTGTTTGTGTGTGTGTGTGTGTGTGTATATATATATATATATATATATATATATATATATATGTGTGTGTATAGTAAGGTAATGAAGGGTTTGGTAATCTGTGTGGATAATTCCAAAGAGGATGGTTCAAGTGTACTCAGTCAAGAGGCCAGACAATTTGCTCTCTTAAATAATTTTTAGACAGGAAGAGAAAAGAAGAAAAAGAGAAGACAAATTGTAAAGCAGAGGAGGGGGAAGGAGGAAGAAGGAAGAGTGAGTTATCATATGTAGGCATATCATGATGACACTTGAAAAACACATCAATATAATTTATAGTTAATACATAAATTATTAATGCTTACCAGCTAACTAGGAATAAAATAAAATAAGGTATATTAATAATATTAATCCTGAATAATACAGTTGTAATTAATATAGGAAAATATAATGAAGATGATTAAAAAAAATTTTTTAATTTTTAAAAGAAGAGTATAAAAATTAATATTATTACCAACAATAATAAAGGTTAAAAATAAGTTTAAATTTGTACCTTAAAAATTTAATAATTAAAATTAAATTTTATAAATGGTAAATAAAGAATATATTTAATATTAATTAAATATTAGATATTTAATATTAATTTAATATTAATAATCAGATTACTTACTATTATTAAAAAAATAATATTATTAATCATAATAATAAAAAGAATAATAATAATTAGATAAAAAATAAAGGGTAAAATCTAAAAAATAAAAATGATAATGTTGCTTGGTAAATTTGTCTAGTAACCTTATTTGATGAATATACACACATATTCATACATATACCTATTCTTTTACATACATATAATGATATCAAGCAAAACGTACAATTATATAAAGACCAATATATATCTTAAATATGTACATATATATATACACACATATACCCACATATATGCATAAATTCACATATCTACACCTATGTACATATGTATATGTCTACATATATACATCTGTATATGCACATACATAAAAACACACAAAAAAGATTAATAATATTATCACACATATATACATACAAACATATGCACTTACACCTATATATACACATATATACATACACACATGCATAAAAAACACATGCAACACAAAAAAGTTTAATAATATTGTCACACATCTACACATATATGCATATAAACATATACACACACCCATATATATATATATATATATATATACACATATATATATATATATATATATATATATAAATACCTATATATATATATATATATATATATATATATATATATATATATATATATATATAAACACCTATATATATATATATATATATAACACATTTGCACATGAATTGTTTAAACTAAGTTCTCAAATCTGACAAATAAAAATTAAGTAGTATTTGGTATTTGATTTAAAATCCTGTAGTTTCCACGGGCAAGTCTTCCAAAAACATTTTTTTTAGATATAGTTTGTTATTTTGAACAGGTTTTTATGTCTGAATTTGAAAATGATTTAATTATGATGAGTCAGTAATCCATTAGGTCCATTGTATTTGATTATTAATATTTTTACTTTAATGCAGAGGTCACATCTTTCTCTAAAGTTTTTAGGAGTTCTAGCCCTGGAAATAATTTTCCATTTCAGCTGCAGAGTGAAGCTGTTTTCTTTCATATCCCAATAACATTTAGATAGTGCTTTTTGGTTCTTGAGTGATTCATTTTTGAAGGAATGGCAATGGTTATAAAATGTTGCTTCCAATCCCCAGCGGATATTCCAATATAAATCTTTTTCTGGTTTATATTTTCTTTGGGCAAAATTGTGGCCTCATAAACTGCATTTTCTGTCAAGCATAATCCTCCCACTGGGCACTTAATTTTAACTCTGCAATTACAGGTAGAAGTATTTTCTTGTTTTTGATTCACATAAAATTCCTTAATCAGATTATTATTGTGGGGATTTATAATTTTTTCCATATTGTTTACGCATGAGTAACTAACTTTCAAGTTTATTTTATTAAAGATTTTATTCAGTGTATTGTTATTACTAAAGTGTTTCTATATTAATTTTAAGAAGAATTTTCCTATGTTAATGCTAGATAATTTGCAGAATGGGGGGGGGTGTTGAACCATATAATTTTTCTTTTACCATTTTTGGATTTATTTGGTTTATTTTCAGTTGGTTTTTCTTGATAATTTAATGTTTGCTGGAATTTGCTCCTTTCGAGAGCTTGATTGTATTTAAGTTTGTTTTCATTGAATATTTTGTAGCTAGTTTGTTTATTCTGGTGTTGACTGTGTTGGGAATCTGTTTTATAACAGGATGGAATGGACGTTGATGTATAAGGAGGTTTGATTTTCTTTTTGGAAGGGTTTGAAGGTGTTATTGGAGAGATTAAATTTAAAATTTAGGAAATTAAGGATTATTAAATTCGATGAAATATCAATTTTAAAACCTAAAAATTGGAAGGCCTTAATGACTTTTTTCCCTACATTTTTGGAGTCTAACAATATACTTATGGTATCTAAAATATATATATATATACACACACACTTAATCTGCTATTTGGGCAGAATCAAAAGCTCCCATGGGGACACCGAAATTTTCATTATCTTTTTTAACCCACAGGGAGTCATTAAATATTAAAATAGATTGTCTGGAAGCCATAAGTTTTAATTTATCATCAGTAATGTTTATATAATTTTTTGCAAAATTTAAACTATTTTCTAATATATTCTCAGAAATGGAGGGGTAGAAATCTATTATATCAGTTTGAATAAATGAAGCTTTAGACTTAGCATATATATCCTGGAACTATTTAATGGTATTGTGGAATCTTTCCAAAGATTTACGGGGTATTTTTCTAGTATAGATGTATTTATTTTCTTAAGGATATTTTGTTGAAAGAGTATGGAAAGAAGAAACATTTAGAGAATATGGAATAAAGGATATGTGCAGTTGATAGCTGGTGGCAGTGTCTTATGAAGATTTGCTCTTTGTTCTTTAAGAATGGCATTTTTGTGAATGAAAGCCAGCAATAGCATTTTACTGAAGGTTTCATTGTATGGTTGATAAATGGCTGTCTTATTTTTCTTGTATTGATAGTCCTAAATACTTTTGGCACATTTTCAGCTTTAAATTTGACTAATTTGTACACTATTGTCCTCATCTTTGCCGCCATATTTATTACAACGTTTCGTGTACATAATACCTCATCTTAGAAATATATACAGATACTGACTAATTTGTGTTAATGTTATTCTCATTATGCAGTCTATGTTAAGGGAGATAGCTCATATTAAGTCTGTCTTTTTTTTATTTCACATCATGCTTCTTATTCCACATATTCAGGAATTTAGTTCATGACCGCTGGATAAACTGAAACATTTTACCAGCACTTATATTTCACTGTTTTATATATATATATATATATATATATATATATATATAAAAATAATTATTTATTTAAGAATATGATTCCAACGTGCTACATAAAAGTTCTCATGTTTCAAAACAAGAGCTGAAAACTTCAATATAATTATTTGAATTAAATTGAAATTAAAGTACTAAGCTCTGTTCCATTTTCAAGTGAAATTTTTTTTGGAATAACTTATTTCTGAAATTTACGTTTTTATAAGCATATTCATTATTAAAATCAAAATTTCTATGGTAACGGCTAGAGCAATTGTTTAAAGAAAAAGGGGCGTAAGGTGTTAATAATTTGTATCAATATCTCAGTTACATTCACAGATGTCAAGTCAGGGTAAGGTTGGGGTGTCTAAATTTAAAGCGGAAGAAGACATCGCCTAGTCTGGTTAAGCGTCTATGGAGATTTATTTATTTTTTATTTTTTTCTGAAAGGGCTTTGTGTATATAAAAACTGTCGTAAATCGCTTTGTTTTTTTTGACGACTTCATAAAGGGTTATCTTTTTTTGTAGGGCATTTAAACTATTTATTAGGACTATGGATTTTAAAAAATTATTTTATTGTTTGTTTGTTTGTTTTTTATGCTAATTATTCAATGCAAAAATTTGATGATGTCAGCAAAAAACCGTTAACTCATGTCTATTGTTTAATAGATTTTTATTATTTAGAAACTTAATAATGTGTAGTTTTTCATGTAGGCATAAAGGGCATGGGTCATTCCAAGTTTTACAAGTTCTAGTTTTGTTTATAATTTTCCATTTTACTTGTGGTGTTTTATTCATTTCCTTCAAATGCCAAAAATATTTAGATAGAGATTTCTGATTTCTTTTATTTATATTGTTGAAAGAGCACTTATGCTGCCTCCATCTGGCTTTAAATTCATTCTTCATAGACCCAATGTATATCATATTAGTATTAGGACTCTCAATGGATGAGATAGTACTTTGGAATACTACAGATTTAACGCAGCATTTATTTTCCAATGGGCAGTCTTCTGGGTTTCTACAATCACATAAATACACTAATTTAAGTGTAGGGTTTTTATTAATACTATTCAGGCATGGGGATTTGTTCAGGATTTTATTATTGTTTTTTATTATACTTTCTAGATTTTCAGTGCAGCTGTAACTTAATTTTAGAGTGTTTTTATTAAATATTTTACTAAGTCTACTATTGGTAGGAAAGTGTTTTTCAATTAAAGCAAGGAATTTTTGTCCTTGCTTAATACTAACCATTTGGTTGAACAGAGGGGTATATCAAATGATTTTTCTTTTCCTTTTTTTTTTTTTCGGGTTAGTACAATTGTTTCTATAATTGATGTTAGCATTTTTTATATCCACTATTTTTTTAGGGCAGAGTTATAAAATTTGATGTTTGTTGGAAAATTTCTTTGTTTGTTTGTTAATGCTGATTCTATCTCTATTGATGAGGGTATATGTTTAATTATGGATGGAGGGTGGTTTGACTTTGGGTGTATATATAAGGGGTTAGTATTTGGTTTTTTATAAGGTTTATTATGTGCTGTTTGTTAAATCTAGAGTTACATCGAGGAAGTTTACCCTTTTCAATTTAGTACAGACTGTTATTTTTAAGTTTAGATTTTTAAATTCACTAAATATAATGTGGCAAATAAAGAAAACAGCAACCAGTGAGTAAATTCAAGCTCTCCCAGCTGGTAGTTCAACCTTGAGTTGTTCCTTCTTGAGTTGTGTCTCAAAATCGCACTAACAGACTGTTCTTGCCGCCAACAGTGAACGTCACTCGAAGAACTCCTCGCACTGAGAAAAAGTAGTTGCTTTTATATTTGTCCATATACTCATAATCTCTTGCATCTTCATGTGATCCCATAATTCATTGCGTCCATGTCCCATAATGCATTGCATCTTTATTGCATAAAAATGCAATGAAAGTCTCCCCTCATTCTTTTACGTTATCTGGCTGAGGGACGATACGGCAGAGCAGTAAGTGCTTTTTTTCTCCCTCATTTCAACTGCAGTAGCTTTACATGCTAAGCAAATACGGGCTTTTTTTAACCGGACAAGGCAAAAGTTGTTTAAATTCCCAGGTTCTGTCTCATGTCCGCCACATATAATCTATCTTTTTCTCAATTTTAAAATTAGTAGAACTCCTCACTACCATGGGCCCGTCATCTCTATACAGTCCAATGTCCTTAATATCTATTTCACAGTGCACGGTCAAGTTGTACAGTATTAAAAGACCAACAAGGTCAGAAGACTCTGCAGAGTCTAGAGATCCCATGGTGATGTCAAAATGGTCATTATTGTTTTTATCCATTGGTCCCCATTATGAATGAGGACTGATTTTTTTGCACTGAGAATTATATCTATTTCTTCCTTTGTCAGGTTAGAATACACAGCAGCAAACTCCAGGGCAGTCGTGAATAGATCCTTCAATATTGACGGGTAGTAATCCACGATATCGAACTATAATAGGGTGCAATCATGTTTATTATCAATATTGGTAAACCAATTGATGATATCTTTGGTATTGATCCATAATTTTAATCCAAGGTGGTTTTTAATTTGGCAAGTAATTATACACATGCACATTTTATCTTTTATTATTTCTCTATTGGATTCTTAATATTTGAAAATCTTAATCCTTGTAATATATTACAAACAAAAATTATTTAAAAATTTAATGGATCAGCATTTTTGTGTGTTGTCTAAAAATATCAATGAACTTTTATTGTAAAATTTCACTCTACTGAAAATCATTGAAACCTTATAAAGAATAAACTCTATTAAATATAAAGCAAGGAATTTGATCTTAACTATTTAACTTTTTGCTAAGATGATTAAAAAATTAATCTCCCTAAACAATTTTTTATTAGAAAATTTGGGGTCATCACCAGCCTAAAAATGGACTTAAAACTGCAGTATCTGTCTATGTCTCTGAGACGATATATTATGATTACTTGCCTTATTTATATTATTCGGACTGTTATACTCATCTTTACTGACATATAGCCCAGTGGATAAAGATGTTGGTTAGATCTAGTGACTAGACCCAAAAGTTGTGAGTTCAATACCAGGCCAGAGCAGTGGTGAACCAAAAACTTGGGGAGTTGAGTTGAAGGGAAATAAGTGAGACATTAGGAAGAAGCATGGCATCTACTCTGGTGGACAAAATAAAGGGTTCAGTTCAAAATTCCAATCACCTGAAGAAGGCTGGAGCCTACAACAGCTGAAATGTTGTGAATATGGCAATGAAGATGAGGACAACAGTCCAAATAATGTAAATTAAAACTGCAGTAAAGCCACTTTGTAATAGGACAGACACAGTGTGAGAAAAATGGTTAAACATTATTTTCTAAAACTAATAACCAATTTAAAATTCCTGGGAAACAATAAAAGTTTTAACTTATGAATTTAATGTTAGTTATTTGAAACATATTTGAAATTTTCTGCATCTTCACAAATCTTTATAGATATTAATTTTAATAAAAGGCTTCTTAAATAATGATGGTATAATGAATTCTAATAGAAATTAGAAAACATAGGGTTATTTGCTGAGAATAACAAGTTTTGATAGATTCATATTATGATATATAGAGTCAGGAGCATAAGATTTTAAAGTAGTTCGTTACATAGAATATTCTGCAGAATAAGCTTTTTACACAATGTTTTGATATTATGTCCTATATATATATATATATATATATATATATATATATATATATATATATATAAAGGCTTAAACACTAATATTCCATGGTCATAATTTATTCCATTGGAATCGTAAATACGATCCAATTCATCAGACCTACAAATTCAAAAAGAAAACAGAAAAAAACCAACTCCGGAAATAAAAACAGAATTTAGAGAGAGTGTAAGTATGAGGAGGAGGGAGATTAAACCTTAACAGAAAGAATTTTAGGAGAGATGGGAGAAAGAGAAAAGAATGAATGTTGATGGATGTCTAATGCATAGATACATTTCGTGGTGACATACACACACCATAGACAATCTAATGTTAGAATAAGAGGGAGGGAAAGAAGAGGTGGGGGAGAGAGATGGGACGAAGGAAAGTAAAATTGCGTTTACTTAAAGGGCCGCTTTGTAATTGAGAAAATTTGACAAATTTAATATCGACTACAGGTTACAAATCAAATATAAATATATGAAGATAAATATAACGATTATCTAATCCAGCAAGGACCTATATTTCTATGTTCAAAAAGACATGCGAATACACACAATAACCTATACATGTATATACATACACATAGGCGTATACCCACATACACACATACATATACCCATGTACTCACATATAAAAATATAAAAATATATTCACATATCCACACATATCCATATACACACACTTTTCACATACATATACATGCATACACATGCACATACACATATATACATATATATATATATATATATATATACACACACATACACATACATATGCATGTATATGTGTGTACGCACACATACACATCCATACACACATACATACATACACACATATATATATATATATATATATACATACATACACACACACACACACACACATATATATATATATATATATAAAACCAAAGATATAAAAATATACAAAAAATACATACACACACATACATGCATATATACACTCATACATCCATCTGCATCCAGTCCTTCATATATATTTTGATTGATTTTAGTCTTTAAGTATTGAAATGCTTTTTCTCATATCAGAAAAACTTGAGGAATTTGAGGGGGAAATCCAAAAAGAAAAGCCACCATGTGAAAAATCCCAACTTTCTCCTGAAGCAGAGTATCATCACCTTGTTGGAAATGTAGTAAGGACTTCTTGATGCTATTCCAGCTTTTGCATGAATATTTGTTGTAGTAAAACATGGTATATTGGTTGGCAGAATTTTACTGGCAGGTTTCCAAACTCTTTACTGACAGCCTAGTTGTTTCTGTTTTTAACAAAATAAATCATAAAAATGTATTCTGACTAATCTTTTAATAAGATTCTTGGAAAGAGTGAAGAAATATCTTAGTTTTCTCCACTCTCCAAGATTCACATTAGGTATTAGTATATTTGTGACATATTAACACCTTAATACAACAGAAGGATCAACCAGAATAGCTGAAAGAAATTAATTTCAAAAAATGAATAGTAGCTGAAAAGATTTTGTATACAGCATTAGAATTAAACAAATATGTCATACAAAATGTTATACACAGATAGATTTATCATATTTTGTCTCATACAGAAAAATTATAGGACATATGAATAAAAAAAAAAGGTAGTACGTGAAAGGATGACTATAAAGAAGGTCTTACATGTAATATACTTTGGAGAGACACAGCCTGCCTCACTGATACGTTTTATCTTCCTTATTTCACATTGTTTTTGAACATTCTCCTAACAACTGGCTACCACATCTATTTTCCTAGTGTCTTACACAGCAATTTTCAATCATCACCAATGGGCTATTGTTACTCATAGGTTAATACCAACTCCCAGATTATCAAGTGGCCCACAGGATATTAGTAAATCCTGTAAGAAGGAAAGATAATTACTTTCTGCATTCTTACAATCCACATGCCAAATTTTCTTCCTAATATCAAAATCTTTGATTCAATCATATACTTGTAAAATCTTCATGTGTGTAAAATAACCACCACAGCAATGGTAGTAGTAATTCTCAATTATTTTATTCTCATACCAATGAGACCTTCCATCTACAAGCTTCATCTTTCCTCTGACGACAGGATGGATTGAAATTTGCCTCAGAGTATGTATGCAATTGTCTTCGCATTTGTGGAGAGAGTCCAAGGTGCCCACATGATCATGACACAGCTGACCACTACTCTCCAGGTTGTCTGCATGTACATGCTTAGCCATTTTGACAGCCAGTTCTGCCTAGCAATTGCTTTGTGGGTAATAAGCTGATGAAATACATTTCTGTATTCCCCAATTCTTAAAGAACAAGTTGTAGTCTTGGGAATCAAAAGGTGGTCCCATGTCAGAAGAAAGTTCTTCAGGTGCATCATATGTGCAGAACCAAGTTCACAGGGTGTTGCATAATGCCCTGACCCTCTCAGATGATTATTAGGGCACTTCCATCCAACCAGTGTACTGATCTGCATATATAAAATCCTGTGTAAGTCGAAAAAGTCAATTACAGTTTGTTGGAATGGGAATTCAGGGTTAGACAGTATCATCAAGAGCTCCTTAGGCTGTGACAAGGTGATAGAGTTACATCTCAGGCATTAGGCTCTGGTCTGTTGAACATTGGCATCAAAACAAGGCCAGAATAAGCATTGTTACCCATTCACTAGCATGCAATTTATACCCTGGTCTGTTTAATGTAGGGATTCAGGTGCTTCCACACAAAGTTGTCAAGCTATAAGGATTTTATTCTCCTTAATCTGTACTCCTTTGACGCAGTACAATTCCTTGTGCATGGGCCGAAAAACAAGAGATCACTGACAGGAGGTCATAGCATGATATGAGGAAATCAGTCTGTATATATTCTGTCAGAGTGCAACATTCTTCATCAATGGCTGCTGAGCAATGATCCTATCAATCTAAGGTCATGCTTGTATGTGGACATGAATGCAGCTTTGATTGCACTGTCTACTGCATCAATTGTAGTTGCCTCATAGAATGATCGTCTATGCTTCTGATGTATATGTGCAGATGTTTGGGAACATTCTGTTGAGTCCTCTGATAGGATCCATGCTGGTTACCAGGCGGTGCAGTTGGGTTCAGCATTAAGTTTTCTAGGTTTAATGCTGAATGTGTACATTAGTGTGCATACCTTGAAATTGAAGAGACATGGGTTCTTTGTTTTCAAAGGTCCAATCCAAGAAAATTTTTATGAGTGGTTGATGGTCAGTAGTCACTAGCAAATCTGGGAATCCCAATATAAATATACAACATAATTCTAGCCCATGGACAAGAGCCAGGTTTTCACCTTGGACTGTTGCATAGTAGGATTCTGTAAAGCAAGATCTGGCCGAAATAATTTTCCAGTGACCATCATCGCAATTTGGGTTCACTTCACCAGTGCAATTACAGTGTTTTTAAAAAAGTAACTGCTTCCTGTTTTACTGTAAACTGTTGAAAGGCATTTTAATGATCTTGAATGTCTTGACTCCATCCTCCATTTTTGCACAATTACTTGCTTTGACTCCTCACAAAGTTGGTCAAGCGTTTTGCCCCAATAAAATTTTCAGTTCTTTGAGCGCAGTAATTCCCAGAAAAGGCTATCACTTCAACTTGCATAAGATACCTGATCACCAGTCCAAACTGCTTGTGGGTGTAGGAAAGTGAAAGATGGCCTCAGTCATTTTCTTTGTTGGTTTCAGACCATCAGCTGTTATTAAGAACCCGGCAAACTCCATCTCATTCTCTGCAAAATCGAATTTGTCAGGGTTAAACATAGCCCCATTCTTCCTACAGTGGCTTATATATTCCATTGTGTACCAGAACAAGGACTCTATACAATCGTCCCAAAGGAGGCTATTGTCTATACAACAGGCTTCTTGAACCATGTCCACTGTAATATCATCGAACCAATGGGTATATCCGTTTCCAGACATGTGAAATCCCTGGAGAGCATGAAGATACCTGTACTGGCCCTATTCAGTGATAAATGAAATGGCATCTTGTGCAACTGGTGAAAGCAGTAAGCTGTGGTACCTGTTCCATGCATTCCAGGATCTGGGACACTACCTTCAAATCACTTTCCATTCCACACAAGATGAGGCATAGCACCGAGCAGTATCAAACTGGTTTTATGGCTACTTTTTCATCTGCCAGCATAGCAGATGGTGCAAACTTTCAGACTAATGTTTGAGATAGTGAATGAATCACTCCCTGTCTCACACCTTGTTGATCTGTTCATAGTTTCAATTTCAAATTTAGTAGATTTCTGGCATACCCCTTTTTATGTGACTCCTAATCCCGCAATTATGACATAATAGTTTAGCTGCTGGGCAATCTTTCCTACTAATTGATCCACATGGGTGGAAGTCTTCCCGCAACCCACACCAGGATTCTTATTCGGCGAAGAAGCAGGGGCATAATTTTCTCAGGGTTATCAAGGCACATGGTGCTCATAGCTAGATATCTGTAGGTAGGACGAGGTTGATGGGCTAACATCATTTAGTAACCATGCAGCTGACTTGTCTGTTGTTTCCAAGCTGATAAGTAAATCAAACTTTTGCATGAGTATGGTGAGGTTGGCAGTCTCGGCTGACCGCAGCCTTCCATGTTGGGACAATCAACTGTGAACGAACAAAATTTGACTTGAGCTTGTAGTCTTGCTAAAAAAGGAGTGATTGACTCACCTTCTGCCTGATGTGTAGAATGAAAAGTTTGCAAGTAAACTTCCTTGTGCAAGCACTTTACCACAACAAATTGGATGAGTGACAAAAGCTTTTTCACTGTAACCAAATTTAATGTTTCAGCCCTTATAAGTTTGAAAAAGAACCTGACTTTGGGTGAGCATGTCATTTTCAATTCTTTGCATATTTTGATTGGATTGGTAAATTTACACATTTCCTTATACCGAGTCCAAGCATCAAGAAATAATGCCCAGTCATTGTCCATTGTGTTGGGTTCAATAACAGGATGGTCTATTTTTTTTTGTTTTGGACATTTGTGCCATGTTAGGGGCTCTGTCTCTCCAAAGCTCAATAGTTTCTCTTTGTAGCTATATCATTTGTTGCATGAGTTGAGCAATCAAATTGAGGGTTCCACCTGGTGCAGATGCCATGTCTTATATTGTTAAGATAGTTCCATGTATTCACCAGATCCTCTTCACAGCACCATGTAAAATAACCACAACGGCCATGATAGTAGTAATTCTCAATTACTTTATTCTCATACCAACGAAATATAAATACAAAAATATATCTGGACGAGGTCCCCCCATTATCTAATGAGACCTTCCATTTCTATTCTATAATGTGGAAACATTGATGTATGCATAATTTGTCAGATGTTTATCTGACCAATTTTACAACTTAGAAATAAAATTCTTAAGCTATTTAATTAAATTTTCATCAATTCTATGGATTACAGATTCAAATTTTTAAAATCTTGCTTATGCATAAATATTTCACAAAATCAGTAAAATTTATTTACTCAGCTACTTTTTCTTCGTAAATTCCTTGAGTTGTAAAAGTTTCTGTGATTAATAAAGATTAGTCTTTACTGTGTGAAAGATTAGCAACGTTTATAGTTTAATTATAAAAAAGAAAGCCTTCGCTATAATCAAAAATTTCTTGTCTACTTTTTGATAACTATAAATTTACACCCCATATCCAGTTTTTAATATTCCATGATGATTACAGTTGTTCAAGTTTTACATAATAAGGTTGACTTTTAATTCTGTGGCTGACCCATCTACATGTATGGCATATTCACAGCTGACAGTAATAAAAAACTAATTTTAACTTAGAGCAATAGTTAACCTTTTTTTTTGAAGTCAAATTATGCTACTAAAAATCATTTACTTAATAAACAATCTGTGATTAATGTCAAACACATTGAAGAATTAACTCAAATTTTATATGTAGACTGCAACTATGGAGGATTATGTTGGCCATGAAACACCAAGAAAACAAACTTCCTTTGAAAACTTGTTACCTGCTCGTTCCTCACTTTCACCTGAATCACAAAATCGGCGAATTGTGAAGCCAGTTTTTTCTGACATTGAACTTACTGGAGACTTTGAGTCACAAATTATCTATGGAAAAACACCACCAAGCAAGTCATCTAAGCCAGTGGATCCAGAAGGGAAATCAATTAATGACTTTCAACTGCTGGATGCCTCAAGTGAATTAAAAAAGCGATCCATTGAAGCAGCAACAGCAGCAGCAGAAGACACAGACTTTGGTATTTTGAGTCTACCAGAAAATCACTTACCTGCTTCTGCTGCAGCAAGAGCATCTGCTTCTGAATCAGGACAACGAAAGACAGGAGATGTGACAACTGCTGATGGATTTGATACAGGTGTATCAAACAGTATTCCAGGTAAAGAGACACCTTTTAGGCTTGATTTTCAATCATTTTCTGATATAGATTTATTTATATGTCACCATAGGAAAAGTAATGTCCAAAAGAAAGAGATGGATTTTTTTTTCTACAAAGTTTCACTCTCAAGTTGGTCAAGTCAATCAAGATTTTTTTTTTCTTCGATTCTTATAAGTATTGAATTATGAAAATAAAATCTTGTTAACACTTTATAGGTGAAGTGGCATTATTTGATATTATATGTACTCTATTAAAATGATAGAAAATGAACAAACATTCACACAAATATATATATATTAGATACATAGATATATATAAACTGGTAACTGTTTGATAGTAATAGTGTAAATTTTCTAAATCATTAACACACAGAAGTTGGTTGGTAATGCTACTTATTTAACTTGGAGACAGAAAACTAATTTCAGAACACTGAAAAAGTATATCCATTTGATTATTTTGTATACTTATAAAATATTTGACCAATAAAGGAAAGCATAAAGTTGTTAGATAAATAACATTAGTACAGTAACATAATTCAACTGAAGTATCAATCACAGATGCACTTATAACTAATCTATCACAAACAGAATTATCCTTCCTTTTTATTTCAGGGATGATTATTACAATATTTTAACTATTTTCCTTTATGAAAATTTTAAAAACAGTTTTACAATATTTTTTTTATACTTTTCAGGAATCCATTTATCTCATAGTTTATCAAATCCTGAAGAAAGATCCTACATCAGTGATTTAGAGACGGAGAACAGTCATCCTATAGGAGTTAAAGACATGCAAATTATTTCCCATCCTTCTGATCTTGGAATGTTTTCTGTAAACCACAGGCAGTCTAAAAAGAATCTACGGTAATTAATGTGAATTAAATAACCTTTTAACAATTACAAGACATAATTTGTCATGTCATCTATATTTTATAGCACAAGCATTTCAGAATCATCAACATCCTACTAAATAAACTTTACTCTTTAATGTATGCATTCAATGTTTTAATGAATTAAAATTATGAATTTTTTTTCTCCTGTTCCAAAGTCTCACATGATTTTTAACTTTTAATTTATGGATTTCTTGTGTATATTTTGTGGTCAGCAGAGAGAAAATTCTGTTTCATTCCTGATTCAAATAAATATTATATTGAATTTAAACAGAAAACAGCAAACTTTTGGCATTCTTCTATTTGAGTTACTAAATGCTGTGTGGGTGGGAATAATGGCTGGTTGTATTCAAGTATGCCTGTCTGCTAGCCAATCCCTGTCATGGATGCCTGCTTAGGCACATTTGTGTTTGTTCAGTACCCACAGAGCCCATCTGTGGCTTATACTGCAACTATGCTGAGCAGACTTTAGCTACAGTTTTTGGAGAGAGTGTATCATCTGGCATGATCAACAGTTTCAACAAGGGCAGTACACTCAAACACTCAGTCTCAATGACTTATTACTCCGTGCTAGCATAACTATTGACAAACAATTCCATCTCTGCATTTTCACTCACATGGATTAATACAAATTCACAAGAAAGAAATTTATCAAGACAATCTTCTCCGACTACCATATCAGTGCCAGTAAAATGTTAAATCTTTTATATTCATGTGAAACTTACTAAAATGTATACCAAATCTTTTGATTTTCATCATAGACCTGTAAAAATCTTTTAAAGTATTCTTATAGTTTATTTTTTATCAGTGGAGGCCCTGAACATTTTACTTATCCTGGTTGACAATTTGAAAAAAAAAATTTTTTTGTCTTGAATAGGAATCAAATTTTCCTTATATTATCAAATAGAAAGGAAGCATTAAAACTTGCAATAATGATTTGTGTTCAGAATTTGAAAACTTCACACATCTTTATTGTTTTGCTATAGTCGTATTGTTCACACCAAGCACACTCTTGTTAATAGAATGTTTATGTATTTTTTTACTTTTTACAGGAGATCATCAAGTCCAGTAACTCCTGCTTTGTCAGTTAAAGGTTTGTTGCTGCTGATGAAAATGGTTGAAGATAGTTTCCAAACTGTTTCCTGCTCTAAAGATGAATATTATCGTTCATTTCAACCTTCAGATGAAGAAAGAGGACGCATAATTAGGTAAGCTCATAGTTCTGGAAGTTTCTAACAAAATTCTTTTGATTTAAGCCTTTTCTTGCACAGATATTTTCAGTCTCAGTTTTGGTCTTTTAATGACTAAATTTTTATTGAGTTATTCATCTCTGTAAGGGAAACGACACAAAAGAAGAAAAAATTGAAATCTTAAGATCATGCCAAAAGTAGCACTTAATGTGCATTACTTAATGTAACAGTTATGGAAAGATAAAGATGGCAGAATAGATTTTAAATGAAACTTATGAACAAATTTTTTATGGAAAAAATTCCATTGTTTAGCACTTGGTAAATTATTGAAAGTAAAAAAAATATTTTTCTATAAGTTTTTTTAATTAAATTATAAATACCTAATTTGAAATTATATTTTAAATTGATAAATTGCTGCCACAGTCATGTAAATTTAATCTTGACAAATAATTCCCTGTAGAGAAACAGCTTGGTTGAATAAGTAAACCTAATTTTTTTGCTAGAGTTGATTTGAGACAGTTTTATTGTATTGAATCATATTAAACAAATGCAAATAAAGAAAATGATTGCTAGGTTAATGTAGAAGCAGAACTAAATTAAAAATTTTGATGAATAATCATAAAGAAGCAATTGTAATGTTATGTATACTATAATGTGTGTATAGAACTGGCCTCCTGAAATTTAAATAATAATAAGATCTAACTCCTAGATATTCACTATCAATCAAAAATGGATACTTCAAGATGGCTTTAGCTGTATATAATAATAATTATTACAATAAAGACCAAGAATAATAGTGTCAGTAAATCACTGTATGTTATTTAATAATGATAGTAAATAAAAAATGCTAGCTGTTTTATCAAAATTTAGCTAGCTGTTATCAAAAAAATGCTAGCTGTTTTATCAAAATTTAGCTAGCTGTTATCAAAAAAATGCTAGCTGTTTTATCAAAATTTAGCAATGTTTTTTCCGCAAACAAAACCGTCTGTAGGGATGCAGAAGCCGATTACCTCCCTTTGGTAAAGATAAGTCACATGGGTCATGTGACTGACTACTTAGTGACATCACTCCACACATTGACCATAGTGGCAGTCAAAATTTTGTTTGTTTACAGCAGCTTAACTAAAAGGTTACTTTCTTTGGCCCAGGCAGAGGTTAAATCTGCCACCCCAGCAGCTTACATCTCCATGGTGCTGTTTTCTTTTGGGAATATATTTTTCCTGATATAGAAAGAAAATCCAGCTCACAGTCCTCAATTTGGGAAAACCTAAGACTCACTGGTGCATAGATGAATTCTGCCTGTTTGAATCTGGAGTCATAAACATGTCTTCTCCAGACACAGGAGTATCTCCATATGTAAGATCCTTCTTTTTTGTTTCTTCTTACACTCTGCATTGCTGTGTAGATATATGTGATATATTATCCTCCACAAGGACATGTGTAGATATGTATATATAGTTTTTTGTATGTCTTAGTGATATAAAAGTCTCTCTGAGAACCAAGCATGTTTGTCCTTCCTTTTTTCCTTTCAACCATTCTGCCTTTGAACTCTGTGTTATTATATCCCAGATATAATAATGCCCATAACCGGGAAAATACAAATAGGAGAATAAATCATTCATCAAAATGATCATTACCTGATCATCAGTTTAAAATGGCACACCAAAAGGAAATAATCCTATTATGATCTGAAAACTTCCCAAGATAATTGCTTTTTTAAGATTGGCTGTTTTGAAAATTATTTATTAATTTCATTTACATTGTTCGGGCTGTTGTCCTCATCTTCATTACCATAGTCACAACATTTCAGCTGTTTTATGCTCCAGTCTTTTTCAGGTGAATTTCAAACTGAACCCTTTATTTTGTCCATTGTTCAAAGTATTAGTACATCCAGAAATGCTAATTTCTTGTTGTTTTCTTTTTCCATTGTGAACTGTATTGATGATTTTATTGAGTTCACATAGTTCAGTAGTAGTTGGACCTCTTCCTGGTGTAGCCAGAGTATGAAGGTATCATCTACAAATCTCAGTCATAAAGTTGGCTTTAGTGATGTGGATTTTAATGCCATTTTTTCAAAGTATTTCATGTATATATTAGCCATTACTGGTGAGAATGGCAAGCCCATTGCTAAGTCTTCATCCTGCTGATACATGTCTGATCCTATCTGGTGTGTTGTTTATGCACAGAAAGTCAGCATCTCCATCAGGTATACTGGTATACTCTCCTAGGGATGGGTCTGAGACCATTCTGTCCCTGATTACTGATAGTGCCTCATCTGTGGGTACCTTGGTGAACAAACTCACCACATCCAGGCTCACCATCAGGTTGAATTAGATGGGAGTGTCTTTGATTATTTCCACGAAATGGGCAGTGTTTCAGACATATGATGGTAACTTTTCTATTAATGGGTCAATTATATCAACAAGGAAGAAACTCAGAGAGTGGCCTCCAGAGCCTTGGCAGCTAACAACTGGCCTGAGTGGAATACCAAATCAGCTGAAGAAGGCCAAAGCGTACAACAGCCAAAACATTGTGAATATGGCAACAAAGATGAGGACAACAGTTTGAACAATGTAAATAGCGTAAATGATTACAATACCTCATCTCAGAAATATAGACAGAATTTCATTTGAATTTTTTGTTTTAGCATCATAATCTGTTTGTATATTTCTAGCAACAGGCTGGCTATGAAAAAGAAATTCTTTAAAAATCCTCATTTTGATTAATTTATAGCAAAATTTACATATTTTCCTTTGGCACCTGAATTAAAAGATTGTAAATTCCACAACTTTGTAAAATAGTAATGAACTAGAGTAAAGAAAATGATGTAGTTGCAAATGTTTGAGATGTATGTGTGTGTGTGCAGATGTGTGTGTGTGCAGATGTGTGTGTATGTAAAGAGATATTACTTTAATGTTTTTTGTCTTTCACTATTTTAGCTACAATGAATAACGTTCAGTTTTGATTTATGACATGATAGAAAACAAAAGGTCAACAAGTGAAAGAGTAAAAATAGAATTTAAAGACTGAAGTGGTATACACTTGTAGTTTTCACTGAAGAAGACTAGATTTTTTTTAAGTTGTTGATAAGTGCTTCCTGCTTATTGCTTGAATTTATTTAATTGCTCTTTAAGTTCTTCAATTCTAAGTTGTGTATTAGTTGAATGGCTATTTTGAGTATTTCAATGTGAATAATTATCAGTTGGCAAACACCTTGTAAAAGACCTCACTGATTGTTGTCATCATGACTGATCAAGAAATGCACAGGAGCAATGATAGATTCAAAAAGAATTTTCAAAACAGCCTTTCAATTTTTCCGTTGCTCAGTCAAATAGTAGATTTCCCTACTCGTTTCCCTAATATATCTGGTCACCATTCTTCTTTACTTGATTTGTTCCTTACCTCCTCTCCTAGCTCTTGTCAAGCATCACAACTCTGTCTTCTTAGCAATTCAGATCACGCTATAGTAACTGTTGATATTTCTTTTGAGTTATCTATTAGACAGTAACTTCCTATTCACAAGACTCCCTTCTGTTACAAGCATACTAATTCAGATTCAGTTCATGACTTTCTTTGAGATGTTTCTTTGATTGATATTCTTAAGCTTCTTATTGAGAATTGTGCCATAGAGGTTTCTTCTTGGGTTAAAGCCAGCATTGATGCTTTTGTATCTTCTCAGAAAATGCCATGTGAAACCACAATCTTCTCCTTCGTTCATACCAACCTTTTTAACTGCTATAGCTCACAGGAATCACTTCTTCCAACTATACCAGCATGATGCCTTTTTGTGTCTGCTCATGAGGCTAAGTCTGTTTGCTGACAGAATGCAGCACGGTATAGCCTCTAAAAAGTTTGGTTTGCATGATGACTGGTGACACTATAATAGTGTGTTAAATAAGAATAAGTCTTCTGTCTCTTCTCTCTTCACTCAATTTAAGATGTTAACAACTTCTGCTGATAAAGCAGAATGTTTTACTCATAAATTCTCTTAAAATTCTATCTTGACTCATCTGGAGTATTTTTACCTGATTTTTCACTTACAACTTAGTCTCTATTGAGTGATATGCATATAACTCCATTCATTGATTTTGATAATCTCTCTAAATTTGATCCTCACAAAGCAAGTAGACTTCATTGTATCCTTGCAATAGTGCTTAAGAAATGTGCTCCTGAACTGGCTCCTGTTCTGTTTAAACTTCTACAATAAATGCATTGCTGCTTCTTGCTTTTCCTGTTTGTTGGAAATTCTCTTCTGTAGTTCCAATCTTTAAGAACTCAAGAGAGCTATCTAACACGTCTATTGGCCTATTAGTTTTCTACATCTTTTTGGCAAAGTACTAGAGGCTCTGAATTGATTAAGTATCTCACCACAAAGAGTTTTCTTTCTGATAAACAATATGGCTTTTGCTTCTCTAGGTCAACTGCTGATGTATTAATGGCTGAAAGTCTATCAAGCTTTAGATAAAAAATGGTGAATCTTGAGCTGTTGCTTTTAATATCTCAAAATTTGGCATGCTGATCTTCACAAATTGAAAGGTTATGGTATTTGTGGACAAATTTTTGAACTGATTCAAAAACTGAACATTTTTAAAAGAATTTTGAATTTGTTTTGTATGTTTATAAATATGCCAATTTTTGTAGATGCAAATGATCATACATCACATTTTCAGAAAATAAAAGCAATAACTATAGTAAACTTAAAGCCAGAAAGTATCTAAAATTAAATTCAATAAAACATTTGATTACAGAAAATATTTGCTTAAATTTTTAAGGTTACCAAGTATTTAAAAATTATGTTATATTAAACTATTTTTTACAGCTAATGCTCCATAGAACAACATTAGATAAACATCAAGCTGTTAAACATGTCAACAGCTTAAATAAGTAGCTACTGTTGTGTTAAAAAATTGCATTTCTGTGATATTTTAAACTTAAAGTAAATAATATTTGTTTCAAGTCAGATTAATTATACTTTAAATTTGCTAATATTCCTCAGATAATGTTTCAGAAAAGTATGTTTTATTTGTGGAAGATTTTTTTAATAAAGAGAATTACATTGTGTTATATTTTCGTAAAGAAAAAAAAAGAAAAGAAATAAGGAAACTATCTTTACTGTCCACGTGACTTTTTCACACGTCCCCATTCCTCTTTAAAAGCTGCGTTCTTCTTCCTTTGTTGATTGCTGCTGTGAATTAAGTTCAGTAAAGCCTTAGGGAAAGGTTACTAGCTTTCTTCTCTGAGCAACGTAACAATTTACTGAACTTACTTCCTCATGGACAAGATTATTCGTCTGGACAAGTTTGATATATCTTCTGCAGACCCTCAGGCTAGCAAGCTCTGGAGACTATGGTACCGTAATTTTAATTATTACTTATCAACTATTGCTTCTTTAAACCCTGACAAACTCGAAGTCCTTTATTTAAATATCGGTGCTACCGTTGCTGATGTTATCGAGGGTTGTTCTGGATTTGAACATGCTGTTGAATTGCTGAGAAGTGTTTATGACAAGTCTCCAAGTATTATTTACGCTAGACATTTGTTGTCTACACGTCTGCAGCAGGAAAATGAGTCTGTAGACCAATACCTTCAGGCCTTGAATTGACTTGCTGCTGACTGTTGCTTCCAAGATGTTACTGCTACTACTTACAGGGATGAATCTGTCCGTGATGCATTTATCGTGGTCTCCGGTCCCTCGTGTCGTGCCAGAATGCTTGAAAATGATACGCTAACTCTCAAGGAGGCTACTCAATGTGCTAGAGCCTTAGAACAGGCTCACTTTCGTGCTGAGTCATACACTTCTCAGATTGGATCAACTGCTGCTACTACCACTAGGACTAAAAATGTGTTTACTGATTCTGCCGAGGAGGCCACTTCCACTACTATTACTAAAAAATATGCTTTCAGACTTAACTGATTCTTCTTATGCGGTGTGACTCTGTACAATTGTCTGCTACCTTTTGCTTGTGGCAAGTGCTACAACTGTGGAGGAAAACGTCACTTTAAGGATAATCATCGCTATTGTCCTGCCCGTGATAAGATATGTCCGAAACTGTGGCAAACTTGGTCATTTTTCTAAAGTTTTCCGTTCTACCATGCGGCACCTTCACGTTCTACTTCAGCTATTATAGTAGCCCGTGCTAAAGATGATGATAGGTCTCCTCCAGTTACTAAAACTTTAGAATTAAAAGGAAAGAGATTAACTGCCCTCATAGACACCGGTAGTTCTGATAACTTTATCAGTGCCCGTATTGTTAAAACAATGAAACTGTCTACTTCTAAACGGAATTCCGTAATTTCCATGGCTTCATCTGCCATTTCCTTCAAACTATCTGAATATTGTACTGAGGACATTATCTTCAATGGTTACGAATATAAACAAATTGACTTTACAGTACTTCCTGATTCCTGTATGGATATTATACTCGGAGTGCCCTTCTTAAAACTACACCAGAGTATCACTATTTCTTTTGGTGGATCTCAGGATATTCTAAAAATCTGCGCTCTAACCAAGATCAGTTGTGCTCCTGTTAAGTTGTTCCGAAACTTGACCCCTGATTGCAAACCTATTGCTACTAAATCCCGAAATTACCGTGCGGAGGATGGTCGGTTCATTGAAAAAGAAATTCTACAACTGCTTAAGGATGATATAATTGAAACAAGTTACTCTCCGTGGTGTGCTCAAATTGTCGTAACTTCGTCACCTAATAAAAAGAAACGATTGGTAGTCGATTTCTCCCAGACTATTAATCGGTTCACCTTACTTGATGCCTACCCCTTGCCTCAAATTGAAGATCTTGTAAACCAAATAGCCCAGTATCGTATCTATAGTATAATTGACTTGTCCAAAGCATACTATCAGATTGAAATTTGCCCTGAAGATCGTCCCTATACGGCCTTTCAAGCTGGAAACTGTCTGTACCAATTTAAACGAATACCCATGGTGTTACTAACGGGTTTTCTGCCTTTCAGCGATTTATGAATTCTTTCATTTCTGATAACAAATTATCTGGAACCTTTTCGTATATAGATGATATAACTGTTTGTGGTAAAACCCAGGAGGAGCACGATGTCAATTTGGAATGTTTCTTAAAGGCTGCCTCGACATACAACCTCGAAATAAACCGGGAAAAATCAGAGTTTTCACTTCGTTCTATTAACGTGCTTGGATATCAAATTTGTAACGGAACTATCCAACCCGATCCTGAGCGTTTGAAGCCACTTTTACAAATGTCTCCTCCTCCCAACTCAAATTCGTTTAAAAGGTGTCTTTGTATGTTTGCTTACTATGCGAAATGGATACCTAAATATTCACACAAAATTCGTCCACTGGTCGAAAATAAACAATTCCCTATGCCTCCTATAGTTATAAATTCTTTCGAAAAACTTAAGAAAGACATTGCCGAGTCATCTGTAAAAGTTATTGATGATGAATTGCCATTTACTATTGAAACCGATGCCTCAGAAAAGGCTATTGGAGGCACTCTTTTTACAAGCTTGAGCGACCTGTAGCATTCTTTTCTCGGTCGCTAAACCCTCTGAAATACGACTTCACATAGTCGAAAAAAGAAGCATATGCTATAGTCGAATCGTTAAGTAAATGGAGACCTCCTTGCCGGTAAACATTTTACTATTATTACTGATCAACAAGCCGTATCTTTTATGTTTAAACCTGCTAATCGCGGAAAAATTAAAAACGATAAAATTATAAGGTGGAAAATGGAACTTCTTCCCTTTTCATACGACAAAAACACCGTCCTGGAAATGAAAACACAGTTCTGGATACCTTATCCAGAGTATGTGGTGCTGCTGCTTCTTCCTTGAAGGAACTTAAATCGATACACGATTCCTTAATACATCCTGGGGTACAGCGCTTTTGGCATTTTGTAAGGTCTCAGAATATGCCGTATTCACTTGATGAAGTCCGACCTGTGCCAAAATAAAACCCCAATTCTTCGATTCTACTAGTAATGTTCTGATCCGTTCTACTGCACCATTTCAGCATCTCTCCATAGACTACAAAGGGCCTGTCCTGGTATACTTACTGTCATCGACGAATATAGTCGATTTCCCTTTGCCTTTCCTTGCCGCGATTGCTCTTCGCAAACTGCTATTCAGTGCCTGACAAGTATTTTCTCCATTTTCGGGCTTCCCTCGTTCATTCACTCCGATCGAGGAACTTCGTTTATGTCAGGAGAATTTAAACAATTTCTAACACGATTTGGAATTGGATTCAGTAATACTACTGCTTATAACCCTAGAGGCAATAGCCAATGCGAACGTTACAACGGCATAATTTGGAATACCATATTATTGGCCCTGGAATTGAAACAATTACCAATTAGTGCTTGGCAGGATGTTCTACATGATGTGTTAAATGCTATCCGCTCCCTGCTATGTACCACTACGAATGCAACCCCCACGAACAAATGTTCAATTTTGAAAGGCGGTCCTCCACCGGTACTAATTGCCTGTTTGGCTCTGTGAGCCTGGGGAGGTATTATTAAAACGATTCGATGGCAGAAGTAAATATGACCCTATCGTTGAGGTGGTGGAACTCCTTGAGGCCAATCCTCACGATGCCAAAATACGTCTAATGATGGCGGGGAAGATTCGGTGGCGCTGAGACGGTTGGCACGTTTTCCACGCCGGATGGACCTGAAAATACTCAACCCGGCGTGGACCACGCCAGATTCAACCCTTTTTGCCTGATGCAGGTCCTGTTAATATTTCTTCACCTTCCACAGAAAATGAATCTGTGAATAATAGCCAGAATCCTGAAAGTCAGCCTTCTCAGAGGTCTGGCTCTTCCAGTGGTGAACTACCTCTCGCCGGGTCTAGCAGGATTCGTAGACCAATCCAACGACTGGATTTATAAAACCTATTCAATTACGATCTCTTTTGCAAGTGGGGGAGAATGTAATATTTTCGTAAAGAAAAAAAAAAGAAAAGAAATAAGGAAACTATCTTTACTGTCCACGTGACTTTTTCACACGTCTCCATTCCTCTTTAAAAGCTGTGTTCTTCTTCCTTTGTTGATTGCTGCTGTGAATTAAGTTCAGTAAAGCCTTAGGGAAAGGTTACTAGCTTTCTTCTCTGAGCAACGTAACACATTGCAATGTAAGACAACTAAAAGAATTGGCACTAATCAGTTATTTTAGCAAAAAAAAAATCTCCTCCCAGTCAATTTAAATTAGTTTTTGAAATACAGCAAAGTATTTTTCTTATTGGAAATATTAAATTTAATCTATCAGTTTGAAATTAAAACTAAAATAAAAACTTCAAGAAAGGTTTTTCTTTTTTAAAATTCATTTTAATCCTTAGGTATCATGTTTTCAATTTTTGGTTGTCATTCTGTGAAGATGATTATTATAAATTTCCACTTGAAACATTTTGACAAGATTGAAAGGCGACAAAGAAACTTTTTGGTTTTGAGGAATGAGGCAAGAAATGTACTTTTTCATTCTTTTTTGTTGTTGCTTTTTTTACACTGTGTTTTGTACCAGAACTGCAAAAGAAGTCAATTCACAAATTAACATTTATTGTAAGGGGTTATTTTGCTTGTTGATTCAGTTGATTAATGATCATCTTCATGATTTATCTTTTGGTTTGTTCACAGTGAAGCAAATAATGAAGGTGCTTCAACAATAGATGCAGATCCTGCCTTGGTCAGTATGATCATCTTAGAACAAATGACTGTCATTATTCGTAGTTTGTCTACAGGTTGTTTGCTCTCGGACACATTACTCCAATCAGAAAATCTTATGAATCTCTGTGAAAGTGATATAAAGTAAGTCATTAGTTATTAATATCTGTCATTTTATATATCTTGTGCTTTCTCTCTAGAGAAATAGCATTACCATTACTTTGACAATGAAATAAAAATATAATTTCTTTTAAGTAAAATAAGTTTCTTTTATTCTGTCTTTTTTCAGTAGAAAAATACTTAGAAACAAAACATTAACAATTTGCTCAATTAATTTTAGTATCATGTCATGTATTTATTTATTTTTGTTCTTTGAGTCATATTTTCTTTTTTTTTTCTTTTTTTTCTCCAGATCTCAGTTGCCATTTAATTCTGTCATTCTCTGGGAAAGTCTTTTTGTCCATTTCACCTCAATTCTCAAGCACAAAGTAATGAGTCCAAAAGAAGTAGCTGCTGTATTTGTACCTTGTTTACTACAGAGTGGTTCTACATGTCAAGAAAAAGTATGTGTGTCATTTTTCCCATGTAATTACAAAATGTTAAATTCAGATCATATGTACTTTACAAAAGACTTACAAATTACTCAACTTTTTAATTTTCAAGATAAATATCAGATTGTTTTAAATTATGTGTCTTTACATCTGTGGATGATTTTCCTCATCTTGGTTGTAATACTCAGAACATTTTGGCCATTGTACTGCAGAAGTTTCTTTTATTCAGTAAATATTCAGAATTTTGAATTTATTTAGTACACAGGGCTAGATTGTTTACATTCCAATTTCCTTGCTTGGTGGTGGATAGATTGTATCAGTATCCGATCTATTCACCCTCGCGTCACTTGTACATTTCTTCCACTGAACCAGAGTATATGATTTTAAACACTACCTTAGTCAGGGATTGAACTACCAGGCAGCCAGATGTGTTTTAAACAATGCTTGAATCTTGGACAATCCAGTGGTGTCATTTTGGAACATTAAATCTAATGACTATACTCATGTTATGGATTTTTTGTCTCCTTTCTTTCTTAATCAGAGGCTCCCAGATGGTATCTGTTTCTATGCTAGGTCTACAGAAGATATTGTCAGAGCCTAACATGTGCACTCATTCTTTCAATCTCAGAATAGAACGTGACCAAGAACTTGAGTGCATTCCATCTCATTCTTTAAAAGTAAGGGTGGAGGAAGGAGGGATCTTCTAATCAGCCATGACTAATTATGCAAAATGAAATCCAAATAATAGACACTGGAGGATAAAGCAACTGAAAGAATGTTTAACAACCAAAATGAGGATATTAGAAGGTTATAATAATCCTGAGAACATATTTCTTATATTTACTGTATTAATATTTTCTTTTATATGGCATAGATTATTGATCTAAAAAAAGAAAGATAATAGTCTGTAACAAAATGTAAAAATTCAATAAAGATTTTATACTTCTAATTATTTAATTCTCATAAATAAACTTAATTGCTTTTTGGCCTCAAAAGTTTTTTTTATTCACATTAATAGTAAATTAAAAGAAAAAGTTACAATTTATGTCTAAACTTCTATAAATATTGTAAAAATGGAAATAAATATTAATGGCTTAATCTTTGATAAATATTTTGCATATCTTGCAGTTTTTGTTTTCTTATTGTATTATAACTTATTTGTAGCAATCTGATAAATCTTTTTATAAATTTAATTATTTTATGTTTCATATCGATTTGACTTCAAAATGTTACTTTAGTTTGTTTAAACTGTTATGAGGAAACAATTCATATTTCTTGTTATTATTTATTGAATAATGAGTGTTTTATTTTAAAATAGAATCATTTACAGCTGCTTTAAATCTGTTGCTTTTAATTTTTTTAAATATTTTACTTCCTACATTGCTGTCTATACAACTCTTAACAAAATGAACTGCCTGTTTGGAGTCAAATAACTTATTTAAATACATGCATTATGGTAATATTTTAAAAATAAAGGTATCATAAAGATATAAGCTCATTACTTACAAAGAAGAGGATTCATTGGCTCATATAACTACATTAAATAAGCAATTTTACAAATAATTGCCTTTCTTATCAAAACGTATGTTGCATGTTTATATTGATATTAGTAGCACCAAAAGTCATTGTGAATTCATCAGATATTTTTAAAATGTCTTTTTTTTTATATGAATAGTGTTAAATACATAGTATTATTTATGTCCTTTCCTAAAATTTAAAATACAATGTATAATATATGAATGAACTTTAAAATTCTTTTTCTTACTAAAAATATTTTTTTAAATTTATATTTGGTGTTTTGAGAGTTTTTATCAAAATTCTTTATTCTGTAAAAATCTGTTTTATCTTTTGCAAAATATATTATGATTTATACACAGTATTCTTAATGGAAAGTTAATTTTCTCCTTAATTAAACATATCAGTATTTTATTGTAATATCTCACTAGAAATTAGAAAATCCTGCTAAATTTGGTTTTGAAGCAAATTAACTTTTAATGTAGTAGGACTGTATTCATTTATGGCTGATACTGTACATGAATTTGACCAAATAATCCCAGCAAGGATTGTATTTCTGTTACTGTTTAATTAAAGATGTCAGTGAATTTTATTTTGAGACTCAAGAACAAAGACTATATTTCATTAATATTTTGAGTGGTTTACAAATAACATTTTCAAAATTTCAAACTTTTTCTTAATGAAAAAGAGCAATGGGGAAAAATAATATCCCGTTATCCCCCAATCTACAAAAAATGCTGTAGTTATCTCTCTTAGATCATCACTACATCTCTAAACTAAAACAATCCTTTTGTTCTTAACAAAAGTAAAATAAAGATCTCCTAAGAAGTTATTTATAAATCTTGTTGCAGTTTAAAGCAAAGTTTATTTTATGGCATCTAATTATTGTAATAAAAATAGAAGTTTTTAACATTGTAGACAGATAAACAATTTTTAAAACATTAAAATTTTTTTTAATTATGCTCATGTAAGTAATAAGTATTTATTTATATGAAGTATTTTTATGAATTAAAGCTAAACTGATAATTCTTCTTTCATATCCCTTGTCCTTACAGAATATACTTGATCATTTCTCTTCACAACTTTTTTTCATTGTCCTTAATAACTTTGGTTCTTTTATCATCCTTTTTTGTCCTCAATTCTGCTATCCATTCACACAAATCTCTTAAGAAGATAATCCATTGTTTCTCTCTGTTTCTCTTAACTTCATTATATTTTGTTACTACCAAATTATTTGAACAGATCATTAATGCATCCCAAAATAAATATAAAATGATGTACATATTTATTAACACAAAGTTTCAATAGTAGGGCACCAAATTATTCAACATTCAGCTACAAATCAAAATAATATATGTATCAAACATTTCCTCTGGACAGAAAATCATTTTATCTTTCTTTCATTCAAATATATATATATATATATATATATATATATATATATATATATATATAATAAATAAATGCTGATGTCTGTGTCACACTTTTTCAACTTTACTCTTAGAGGCCCAATATATCATACCATTTTGGAATCAGACCAACTCCATGACCAAATTAAAAACATTCTAGGTTGGATCCAGACTTGCAATCCTGAATATTAGGATTTTCAAGTTTTCATTATTATGATTGTTTTTGGCAATTTTTTTACATGATTTTTTTAAACAATAACAATAACCATTTTTATAAAAAGGAAAATAAATTTGGGAATAATCAAAATTAATTATAAAATCCATCAAGAGTCACCCATGAAATAAAAATAATTGTCTGTATGGAAAGTTAGGTCCTACATATATAAATTTGTCTTTAAATTAAGTAGCGGCAGAACAATTATCGTTGAACTTTTAAAAGATAAGCTTAAATATTAATGCAATACTTAAATGCAACAATCAGTTTTGAGTTCTTCTGTAGTTTATTGTTATCTATAACATCTACTTCTCCTTTCCTAATGTGATGAAGGCCCAATCAAGAGCCCTCTGCAGGAGCTAATTTAAATGCCACCCAAAAGGGTGGCTTTTTTCCTTTACATATATATATATATATATATATATATATATATATATATATATACACACACACACACACACATGTGTAAGAAATATAAAAAAAAATATAGATAAAAATAAAAAGTTCAATAAAGAATGTTTTCATAAGTTTCTATTTTGTTACAAACTGAATAAAAATGGATGCAGAAAAGAACAATCAGTGAATCATTAGTGAAAATGCATCTGAATAATTCCTTAAATATATTATTTTATGTATATTTATATAATTTTACTACGTGAAGCCATTAAAATAACTAAGGTCAACACTTACACTATTTGGTAAGTTGTGTAAGGCTGAAAATAAACACAAACAAGGCTGAAAATTGTGTGCACTAGAAAATATCAACTTTTATCTACATCAGCTTTCATTCTTTTTGTTACCAATGAAATTCAAAGATTCAAATTAACTCTCAATTGATATTATTGAAAAGTTTCATTTTTTCATTGAATCATTTCTTATAAATTTTCTTTTAATGATTCACAGGATATTTGCAATTGTTACTAATGCTTATTCATACAACCTGTTTATAATGCCTACTTCTGCCAGTACTAAATATCTTTATTGAATAGCATTGGGTAAGGTTTTTGTCCATATTATTTTCCTATATTCTCACTGTTTCTAGCAGCTTATTTGAACTATCTTTATTCAAAGTGATAAATATAAATGATGGGCTTTTATGGTTCAATAACCATAAACACTCAAAGTAATAACAGTGTACATTTGGAAAGAATAAAAAGAAGAATGAATTTAGATTTGTTAATTTGATTTCTATTCTAATTTTGTTTATTGTAAGGCTTTTAAGTTGCTGGTGCAGTATTTGGAGCATGTGAACAGAAATTTGATGTCAAGTGCTATGGGTATTGATGAATTATCAGACAACTCAACAGACATATCTTATAATGCAGTACCTCAAAGACATGAAGAACAAACAATGAAAGGTTATGTCTTACTTTATTTTTTATACATCAATAATGAAGATAAATAAAAGTGGCCCTATGCTTAGCAAGAAAATTTTTTAACATGCTCTTTTGCTTTAAAAAAAATACTGAAGCGAATCTTTTAATTAGAAATGGTAATATTAGCCGTTTTCCTACAAGGAAACATTTATTGACTGAGTAGCCAGTACTCTTTTCAGTTGAAATTTATAAAATCTTTCTCTTATAACAATTTTTTAGGAAAACTGTTTTTTCAAGTCAAGTAGATTTTATCACTCGTTCCAATATTGATGTTTTTTCCCATTTTGTTATTTAATTACCCATCAAGAAGTATGCTATTATTAGATTTATTTTCCTTCTTAGTATTTTAGTAAATTTTTCTTTGTCCTAAAACATCTTTCTTTAACTCTTCTGTTTCTGTTTGAGAAAGTATTGTTATTTTTGATAGCCTTATTATATTCCTCTTTGCACCAGGAAAATATTTGGTGGTCATTACTAAGAATCAAGTGTGCATGATTCATTTGAAATTTCCTTCAGTTTCCTCTGTATTAATGGAGTTTGCACTTTGAAAATATCTCTGGCATTGTTTCCAGTGTTCTAGTCATTATTGGAATGACATCATCATCATCATCATTCTTCGACCTCCCTGTGCTTGGTCAGAACTCCATTAACAATCCCTTTCCACACTGCTCAGTCCTCCATTGCTGTCCCCAGATCTCTAATATTCAACCTTGAGTTCTGAGTCATGGTGTCTGGGAAGGTCAACTTTTGTGAGAAATACCTCCAAAAGGATATAAGAAGTAAGGATAAGATAACTTCGCCATCCATTCAGTAGAAGTGGCCAGAAAACTGTTGAGTTTAAGGCAGATTGATCTCAGTTCTCCGTAAATTGTGTTAAATGTTGCATGAGATCTCCAACTGCTGTTCTGGATTTTCCTAAGCAGATTTGTATATGTTCCAGCCAGTTGTCTTTCAAGATGAATGGATAATGCCAAACTTCCTGATCCATATAGTAGGACTAGTTCAATCAGTTTTCGAAAGGTTTGAACTTTTAAAGAGGATGGAAGGTTTGAGCACCAAATCTTGTGAAGTTTGTTATGCACATCCCACTTTGTGGATGTTAAAGTCTTTTTGGGTATCTATTATGTGAGATCCTAGATATTTGAAGTCCTCAACTCTTTCGATGGATGTATTATTGAGTGACTTCAACTCGAATGCTTCAGTTTGTGATATATTCAGTCTTGCTCACATTGCAATAGAGACCTACCTGCTTCACTGCTTGTTGAGTGATTGCAGCAAGGATTCTGTATATTTGATACATTGAGAAATTAATGCAAAATCATCAGCAAATTCAAGCTCAGTCAGGTAATGTGAAGGGTACCAACTATTCTGGCTAGGTTTAAAAAGGAGTCCCTTTTCCTCCATGTTGTCAAGAGAAATACACAGAACATCATCCAGAACAACTATAAACATAAAACACTTTCTGTTACTCTTTTCAGATCGGAGTAAAAGTCATCTATTAGTTTTTCATCACTTTTATTAGTTTGGCAGAAACAAGCAATGAATGTGGCTTGAGTGTTACTGTTAAATTCAGCAACAATTATGCAATCAGATATTTTTTCAACAGATAGTAAATTTCCTGAGGCTTTAAGAGAGAGAAGTATATCAACTCTGCCGACTGTGGAACTTTGAGAGTTTTTGGTGGCTGAGACGGTGATAAATTGGTATTAATCAAGGTTGTTATAATTCAGGTCTGTGTCAGGATAATAGTACCTGTGCTCCTGGATGCTCATGATGTCAATTTTATTTTGCTTTGTGCAAAATAGAACCTCTTGTTTTTTGCTGGTCTTTGACAAAGTTCATGAATTGAAAGTGCTGTAAATAATAGGACGTTTGCATTTCATGAACTTTAATGTAGAGTTTGTTGTTGCTGCATCTCATTTTTTACAATTACCTTGTTTCAAAGAGTTGAGAGGTGATTGGTCAAGGCTTGAATTGGGAACTTGGTAAGCAGGGGCTGGAACCCTGGTGCAGTTAGTGGACGTCATGATAGTTCTTTCAGTAGCAGATACAAAATGTGGATGCCAACCCTGCATCTGGGTGTTTTTCTCAAGACACCATCTCTAGAAAGACTGCCACCCAAGGCTAAAGACTTCTTTCAAACCATGACGTAAATTATCCCGCACTAGTCACCAAATTGAAATTTGAATTTTCGCAGACTGTCTTAGAGACTCCAGCTTCAAATTTGTTATCAGGGTTTACTTTCTCATGATTGGGCATAGCTGCTAGGCAGTGGAGGTTTAAAATCAGTTTTCCTTCTCTTAGATGAACTACCCTCCTGGGCTGACATATTTCATCTACTTGAAGTGTATAAGTGTATATTGGTATGACGATCATCTTCATTTTCTACAGTTTCTGCAAAATCATAAAATATTTTCTTTTCCAGTTTTCACTTTCACCCTGTGGCTTACTGGAATTACCATAGATTTGATTTGAGCAATTTTCATTTCTTTATCTCTGCCAATTATGTCTGGTCTCTTGGTTTGTAGAAAGTGATCTATCTCTACTTCAAAATGCCCAAATATTTTACTTTTTCTATTTTACTTTGTGCCCATACCATTTATTTATAAGGTCACACCAAAGTCATATTGCTGCCCCTTTCAAATTGGTTTGGCATTTATATTATTATATGAAATCATAAAATTATATGGTATGCAGTGACTTCTTAGTGTTAAAAAAATATTTTCACCAATTTGGTTATATTAGAAAATATGAAAAAATATCTACTGGATCCTATTTCTAGATGTGATTTTGCATGAGGAGTTTTCCTTTCAAAGAGCCAAACAATTGATTTAAACAAATGTTTTCTCATTTAAACCAACTGAAGGTTGCAGTCTGTGAAAAGTATGTGTTAACAGAAATCATGTCAAGACATGTCATCAGGATAATGTTATATATCACATTGTTGATTTTGGCAGGGAACTTTTAATCTTATCTGCCATTTTCATAAAATATTCATGATCTTCATTTATCCTGGTGTTTACAGAATTGTTTTTATGAAAAGAATTTCATGTTCTTAAGGCAGTTCTGAAAAAAATAAACAAAATCTCACATTATTAGCCACTTTTAATTTTATCGAATTCTTAAAAATAATGAAGGGATTCAGAGAAATATCTATACTCTTAATGTACAGGATATTTCACATAGTAGAAGTACCTTATGGTAACAGTTTATGAATTTTACTGGATTTTCCAAGTTTCACATGATTGACCAGGTTACTGAAATACCAAGGAAATGTGTCCAAAGTTTTTTTAACAAAAATTGAAAACGTTGTTGTAATGGCAAAAAAGTTATAAATACAAACTTAATATGAAATGTATGTAGTCCATGTTTTGAAACTAGTTTTAGAAGTCATTGATTGATTGATTGTTGATTTCATTAGCTGTCTTATTTTTTCATATGAAACACAAGTTGCACAGTATTCAGAATAATATTACAAAGTTCATCTTTGCTTGTAAATTTCTCTTCAATAATATAAAACTTCCTCTTCAGAATGTGCCAAATATTTTCAATTGTGTTATGGTGAAGTGAACAAAAGAGTCACTTAATCAAACGATTACCTTTGAAACCCAGTTTTATTCAGATAGTTACTAGTTTTCTTTCTTGCATGTAATGAAATATTGTTGTGCATAAAAATCATCATCTTTATCAAAGTGTTTAAACGATGTACCTTCAGAAAAATATTCAATATATACTTGAATTGTCATTTTATCACCACCAAGAACTTGCCATAGGCTCACCACATCACCACCTGTAATTCCACTCCAAAACATCACATCACCTCCAGCTTGTTGAAGATTCAACCTGTGAGTATGTTTTCTGTCAGTAAGCAACCAACCTTTCCTTCCTTTGCCTAACCCATTGTGGGTGGGTAGAGCATGACATTCATCAGTGAAAAATACAGTTGAAAAATCAGTCTTCCTCTATTCAACTACCCATTTCATTTCATTTGAATCAGCTTTACAATTCATTTGAAAGTTTCAAACTCAAAACATGGTTATTAATTTAAGATTTGAAATATTTTATACAAACAGCTGTTTTTTCTTTTTATTCATTTGCAAAGAATGAACCGACTTTTATCCTCATTCACTGTGCAAAAAGATGTTGACATAATTAAACAAATAAATATTTAGATTTCAACAAAGTATACCCTGGTAAATAATGTGAGATACAGTTTGAAAAATGTTTTGAAGATGGAAATCTGAAATTGTTTGAAAGACAGCTAATGATAGTCAAACAAAATGGTGAATATATTGTCTGGTAAAGCTAATACATTGAGCAAAGCTTTTTGCCACTCAATATCTGATGGCTACAAGCATTGATTAGTTTTTGATCCTGGAAAACAGTTTTATTTAAAATAAAACTGTTTTCTTTTTACAATCATATTTGCATTTTCCCACTCCCATTGAATAAGTTATTATTTTAAAACTTCAATAAATTCCTTTGAGTTCTTTAATTCAATCTCAGTTTCTTCTTCATTGTGGTTTTAAATTCAAATTTTTCTCTTATGTTTTTGTTTTTCTCTCACCAGATAAACAAGAATGGGTAACTTCTATCGAAAGAGCATTTAGTGATGGTATGGATGATGACAACAGAAATTTGGATGAAGAATTGGGCAAAGAAAAATCTAGTGAGTTAAATATTAGCCGTAAGTGTTAAATAATTCTTTTTTAATTTCCTTATTTGCAATGAATGTGACATAAAAGCTGAGAATGAAATATGAACAAGTTTTATTAAACAGCAGGAGTATATTGTTATGCCTTCATTCCATTAACTGAAGATAACACAATCATGAAATATAATGTTGCTTGGAGTAGACATAGTCTTACTGAATTTTATAGTAAAGATATAAGACTTGTTCCTGGCTAGCTCTCTGCTGACGATTCTCAGTGTCAGTATATATGCTATTTGTCCAAAGTCATATTCTTGAGAAGTGTGTTCATCTCCACAACACCTTTTTCAGATATGCACTTTCTTTAGTCAATGCTTTTACCAACATGGGACCACTTATGTTTTAGTTGGATTACATTTTCACTTACCCTGGCATTGTATTGTAATATTAGTTTTAGGAATAGCTACTTCAGCAGTATCATAAAGTATGTCCATTGGTGAATTAAATTGTACTGGTTGCTTATTCTCTGCATATCTAGACCTCAATTGATTTATATGTCTTCTATGTTGAAATCATCCACCTTCAACAATTTTCCTTTCCAGCCTTAAAGCTTTTTAAAGACCTTATCACTGATCTTAAATGATCTGGTAGTTTCAAATTGTCAACTTTTCTTTTTATTCCCTGGTAGTAATTTGTTAAAAAGGAATTTAACTTTCCTAGCAAATATGACCTCTGCAGGTGACATTTTCACAGTGATGTTTGATATACACTCAAAAATTCTTGTAGTGTCAACTTCCAAGCCTTTAGCTTTTCTTAATGCCCTTTTGAAAATGTCAACAAACCACTCAGCTTGATCATTCAACCTTGAATGATAAATCGGCATGGTCAAATGTTCAACTGAGTAGTTTTTGCAAAAAATTTTAAACTCCTTAGAAGTAAATTGAGTCCCATTATCAGATAAGTACTCCAAACTTTGCAAAAAGTTTGCATAAAAATTTGTTATTGCAGTAAGTCGTTTACACTTTAATATCTTGAGTCATTTTGTGAAACTGTCAACGACAAATTCTATGAACCATTTAGTGGTTCAGCAAAATCCATATGTAGTCTTGCCTATGGTTTATCAATGCTCAGCAAGGCCTGATATTGTATAGGTGGTGATTTTGCTGCTGAATTACAGCCATTTCATTTTCTAACTCTATTTTGAATATCTTTGTTCAACTTTGGCCAGTAAACGTAGCTTCTCCTCAGGGACTTCATCCTCATTATTTCCGAGTGTCCTACATGGAATTGTTTCAAAATCCTTTTTTTAGTAACAACAGAATTACTACTCTTTCTGCATATAAAAGTACTCAATCACAAATAGAAAATGCTGTGTGCGAGAAAAAAAACAAAAAAAACAAATGCCTTCTTGAGACACAAAAACGAACGCCTTCTTGCGACACAACACTTTACGACAGCCAACAAGCAAAACGGCACCCAAGACTGCTGCCGACGGACGACCAACCATAACGGCTTTTGTCGCCCAAGAAGACGCCAAATGACTCGCGCATCTTATTATAGTCCTCGGTTGAGTCCATTATGGTACTCCAAGGTGTGCCCGGCGACAACACACACACACTCCTCTCTGATCTCTAGATCACACAAATGGCAATGTGGGGCAGGCCGTTTCTGCCTGGTGCTCCGTCTCAGTGGTATGGTAACAAGCGTTTCCTCAGTGGTGCTCTCTTCAGACGTCTCACTGAGCTCATCCTGCATAGTTACATCAGGTATGCTACTCTCTGAGGTGTGCTCTTCCTGTGATTTTATTTAAACCATCAGAACTAACGTGGTTGCTGACGGAATAATCCTTCCTGCACGCTAGTCGCACATCTTTTGTTTGGCGCGGTATTCCATCAATAGAGACAGAGTGTGGGCTATTAATTTGTGTCACCGTGCCCTTGCTGAACTGTGTCGTTACACCTTCCAAGCGGATTTTTTCATCCAGACAGTCTCTCCTACCGTGTAAAGGATTGGCAACTGTGTTGTCATAGCACCAAAGCTTGAAAATCGATACCCTTAATGCGGACCCTGTAAGTGTAGGTTGCATTCACTGGTGCAGTTGAAGCTGTTTTATTATCCTTTGGGGTAACATTGTGCCAATATACAGCTTCCAAAACTGAACACCGTGTTCTCACAGCGATGCGCTCTATTGTATGATGGAATCGCTCAACTATCCCATTCCCAGATGGTACGTGGGCACAGCGAAATCATATTTGTACATTCCACATCTTTGCAAATGCAGCAAACCTCTCTCCACAAAACGCTGCGCCATTATCTGTAAGCAGCTCAACCGGCGACCCTCTTTCACAAAACACTACTTCCAGCTCCTTGATGATGCTAGCAGAGTCTTGGCAGTGCAAGGGCTTCTAAATGGCAAAACGACTGGGGCCGCAGTCTATCAGCGTCAGGTATAGTTGATGTCTGAAATGGGTTACAACATCTCGCTCTTCAGCCACAGCGCACATAGGTTCTCTGGGTTTTGTCATTTTGTGCATTTCATTTAACCATCGCTGCAGTACTCTAGTAAGTTGGTCGGCTCGATTGTTGTACGATTTGACAAGCTCTACATCAATGTCCAGCTCGTATTCTAAGGCCAACTTTGAGTATGGCTAGCCAACGTCTGATTAGCATCTTGAGGCTGCCTTGGGAAAGACTTCGTCCGTCCGGACAGAGTGTCAGCTACCCAAAACACATGCTGAGTCTGTCTGTAAATGAATGGTTTTGGCCTTCCATTGTAATGCAAGGTTGACACCTTGCAACACAGCATCGAGCTCAGCCAAGTTGATGAAAATGTTCGCACCGGTCGGAGCCAGCTTGAAACTTCTGCCATGGTGCCATTGTCTCCACAACCACACCGTGGCTAAGAGCTAAATCTACCCACACGGTTACATTTTTGTTCACCGATGCACCAGTCACCTTTCACTGGATCGTCCTGGGCTAGTCTCTTTGAAATGTCGTCGATCATCTGGGCTAAAAAAGGTCCTGCACTTCATCGTCCCATCCAGTGGTAAAAGTGTTTGCCCTCCGCTTCACAAATGCTGTAGCGACATGTAACCAACTGCATACAGGAAAATGACCTGTCAACTTCCCTGGCGCCAGAATTCAATTATTGGGTAAAGTTTATTGGGACTACGGAAGGTCATCCATGATTTCCATCGCAATTTTCCTTGCTCCTCCCAGACATATAATCCCAATGTGCGTGTTACCCAATTCTTAACCAAGCTCAGGGGTCTTACTTGACAGACCAAACTGTTCCAAATGTTCCTTGACTTAACCACAGAACACACAATCTCATTAACAAAACGTTGTCAATATAAGAGGAATGTGACGTTGAAATAAGTCTGTTGGCTCAAGACATAATAACAATGGCCCATGATTAAAGGGGCAACATTGAGCCCAAATCTAAATGGTTAGACAATACCTTTGTCCCTTAATCTCCACTGTTTGGAATGGCCAAAGGGACTTGTCGATGTGTACCTTTAGATAGGCCCGAAATGGTCCAGCACTGCAGCATTTGGTCCTGCTGACGCCATTCCCGTAATTTTTCGGAACAAACATCTGAAAATTGGCTGCGTGACGTGTCAACGTACTCATTGAGTTCCCGATAGTCCATAACAAGCCGAACCATCTGTTTGTTTTCCTGCAGAATGGCCATGAGGGGGATTAAACCCTTTGGGGGTCCGAGTTCCTCCTCCGGGTAAGGAAGCAGCCAGCCATTATCTATCCAAATCTGGAGTTCCCGATCATACTCCTCCCGAATTTATGCGAGAGCTGGATATTCTGCCAGTCTATTTCTTAACATAACTGGAGGTTGGTTCCCAGCCCATTTCCAAGATGCAGTCCACTTCCGGTGGTCTCATCAATTCTACTTTAAAGTCGGGTAGGTAATGGTGATGGCAGCAACGACTGGTTCCACACCCCCGCGGAAACTTCACCTCACCTGTGCCAGTTACAGATATTCCTCCCAACTGTTTGATGGCCTCTAGTCCGAGCAAGAAGTCAAATCTAAGCAGGTCTCCATCCACGACTAGGGCTTCCATAGCGATGGACGGTTTTGCACCAACGCTAACTTGTACCACTCTGATTCCACAGCAGTCAAGTGCACCTCCGTCTACTGTAAGCACGCGTGTTGATTTTCTTGTCCATGCATGAAGTGTAAGCGTTCTCAAAGCAAATTTGTTACTTTCACAACACAAAGAAAAATCACTAAGTCCAGACGCAAGTATCGGGGGCAGAAAAAAAAATGCTGAAAACTTGATTCACCGGTACTATCTTAAATAACAATGCTTGTAACGAGTCAGGAAAATAACTCACTCTCCAACAAACGCCGTAGCCAAAAATGCCCGAATTTTCCTTCTTCAGCAGATCGCACACAAAACACAAACTTTTTTTCGGGGTACCTAATTATCTTGTTCACTACACTCCCCACTGTCATATAAGTGACACTCATGGGCGAGCCTCTTTATTCTTAAGCTTCTCCGGAGTGAGGCGACTGTTGGAGGAGATTGTGTGTTATGTTCTGAGGTTTCTTCTGATCTGACAACCTCATGCGCAGAGTCTTCATCATCTGAAGAATGTTCTGAAGATTCTTCTTCTGAGGATTCTTTTGGTCTGACAACCTCACGCACAGAGTCTTCACCATCTGAAGAGGTGCTAGCCCTACCTCCGATGGTAATTATTTGTTCACTTTCTAAGCACTCACTGCTAGTGTCACTTGTTGACGTATTTGTACCTTCATAGTGACACAAGTCCTTTATGTGTCTTGGTATGCCATCAACCAGCACAGAATGCGAGTTACTTAGTCCAGTGATATGCCCCCACCCCGGTACCGGGTTGTACACGGCCATGTGGAGATTTCACCCACGCGATCGCCCAAGTCATACGGCGACGTTCGCTTATCCGCTCAGTTGAACGCGTTGTGTCAATGCCTCGTAGCGGACTTTTTACTGATAAATCATGTTGGCTGGGCGCCCAGTTGAGGGCGATACATTATTGTC